AAAGGTATTATATGTCCGGTTTGCCTTCAGACATTACAGTGGATGAATTTATACAGCTCACATCAAAAGTCTGCGTTATTAAAAAAAAGTCTGCGTTATTATGGGAGATCCTCAGAAGAATTTAAGGTCAAGTTTTACAAACATAAAGAAATCTTAAAGGAGATGGGCTTTGCTGTTATTTGAAGAGGGATCTTCAGATCTTGCATTAAAACTTTTTGATGAAGATGAAATTAGAAGCTAGAAATTAGAGGTCAAAGTGGCAAAGTTTCAGCTAAAGGAGGAATACGATGCCTCAAAAAAGAATAATAAGTACAAAGTCTATGAGAAGAAGCTGTTTCTGCAAAGTAAACAATTGGACTGGACACCTGAAAGGAGAGATGGGCCACGGGAAGGTACCATGAGTGAGTTGTCACATCAAAAATATATTTTATCTTATTAGTGGATGACCCATTGGTGCTGAATGAAATCAAAGACCCTTGAGTAGAACGTTCCAAGTTCAGACAAAGTAGGAAGCTCTTTTTCTTTGATAGGCACAAAGCTGGTGTGGACTCTATGTCCTTGAGGAATGCAGAGGAAGCTGATTGTTAGATTCAAATCATCCATGGAAGGTGGTTTGGGAGCCATCAAGTCATTGATGGGATTACAGGCTATCAGGTTGAGGAGACCTCAAAAGAAAGTGAGAGTTGAGTGGAAAAGGGGTGGGGGGGTCTCAAAAGGCTACGTGTGTATGTGAACTGAATATGGTTAAACTCCTGTGTGCAGTGATACACCAAGCAAGGCAAAGTGGGAGGGGGTTGTACGAGGGGGAGTCGTGTTACTGAATTGCTGGTGCATGGTAAAAATAAAAAGTCGATTTTAGTACAATTTTAAAATCCTCTACAGAAAATGCAGCCTCTTACTGCCTTGGAAGAAATACTAAATTTCAGTTTGAAGTTGGAGAAAATAAAGTATAATTTTTCCCTATCCTCATTCACAGATCTCTTTCAAAAAATTTTTTTTCTTTTTGGGGGGAGGTAATTAGGTTTGTTTATTTGTTTGTTTGTTTAAATGGAGGTACTGGGGACTGAACCCAGGACCTTCTGCGTGCTAAACATGCAGCCTACCACTGAGCTATAAATGCCCCGACTCACAGATCCTTTGAGATCCTCCCATTAGAGCCAGTGATGTCTCAGAGTGGAAAGGAAGTCAGGTGAGAACGTGTCCTGCCTGTCCGCAGCCTTCTGACTCTCCCGAAATCCTGGAACTGTCCTGGTTCTGTCCTTTCAAAATCCTGACTATTCAGCTTTTTCCTCAATTCTTTAAATATCCTTCCAATAATTAACTCTTCTTAGAGTGAATTTGTTATTTCTCTACAAACAGCTGCTTCCTCAGCTCCATGACTCAAAGCCTGAAGTCATGGAACAAGAGATGAATTTTGGACATAGAAGTTTCAAACCACTGAATAGCTGTGTAGTGTTGGGCTCATCACTTTATTCAAGCATATGAAACAGGAAGAACATCTCCTCTGAGGGCAGGTGTGTGAATTCAAAGAGATGAAAGATCTGCAGTATCAGATCAGGGACCTTGATTGATTCTCTGCTGAATCCACAGTGCCTATCACAGAACACTGAGAAGGGGATCAATAAATATGCCTTGGTTTAGTAAATACTGTATCTGAAAACACTCTATAAACTCAGATGCACCATGAACTGCTGTAGCCATTTTTCCCAGGATGGAGAGAGCTGATTTCTTTTCTTCCGCTCAGAGTTGTCTTAGTCTTGCTTTCTCCTTCTTTCTTTGAATCTTTACCCTAAATCTGTGTTGGAAACCAGCCAATTTGCCTGCTTCTCCTACTGCCTGATTTCCTAAAATCAAAAAAGCTACCCTTCTTAAATGAAAGGTGGATGGCTCCATATTGATAGGATGGGAAGAAAAGAGGAATCCCTTACTTCTTCTGTTCTCAGGATACATGTTCACATTCAATAACTCAGAAATTGTTGCTGGGAGGTGCACCCCGGTTTTACGCAGAAGCTGTTGAACATCGAGTAAATGTTTCCCCGAGAGCCCAATTAAGAAATAACTCCGGGAAAGCAGAGGGTACAGAGGTGTAGAAATAGAAATGATATTTTTCTAAAGGACAGAGATCCCCTAACAGTGTTAGGGCTCATTACAACCCATAAGGACTCCTCCAAGTCCTTTCTATATGACACTAGGTAAGGATAGGGACTTTTGTACCAGATACAGACCCGGGTCTTAGATTAGCAAAAGGAAGGTGAATATGGACACAGTCCTGTGTTAGGGAGCGATCCTTGATGATTCTGGGTCTGAAAAGCCAGTGTGTCTGTCTCACCAAAGGAAAGCAGTGAGGGAGAAGTTTGAGAGGTGATGATGTTAGCCAGAAGCTACGAGTTTCAGCCTGGGGATCACAAGGACCCATCTAAGCCACAGGACTGAATGTTTTTAGACTAAAGGGAAGGCCACTCAGTTGCTTCAGCGTGAAGGTGGCATGGGAGAAGCCTCACTGCCTTCTTGAGCCAACAAGGCATCAGAGACTGGTCATGGTTTGAGCTGACAGAGAACTCCATCCCCTGGTCGATGCTGCCCCATGGAGGTCAGTATAATTATTGCGGCTCCCTTTCACGCTATTCTGTCTCTTCGTGCCATCCTGAGACTTTTGGGTCAGAGGGCTCCTTTGGCTTCCTGGGGCAGTTGGAATGTCCCTGAAAATTGTGTGCTTCGATATAACTTCAGTGCCTCCAGATTTCAGAATCGAGACTCCTTATATCCCAGCGATACCCCTCACTGAGGCCTGCCAAAAACCATGCTTGTCGGTCGACCGTGAATATTTGGGTTCGTGGATGGATAAAAAGGAAGCTCAGAACTTCGAAAACCTAGATGCCTGCCTGCACGGCCCTTCTCCCATCGGAGCATTAGTTGACATTCGATGAAGTCGTCTGTCTCGGCAATCTCCTTCATGGGATATCCAGAGACTACTTGTCTGGGAACCTGCTCTGTTAAAGCTGCCTACGTTTCCCTTGTCCCAAGTCCCAAAACCTGGGTGGGTCCTTCTGTCATCGTGCTTAATCAGGTCAAATGTGAGAACATCTGGATCCCCCTGGTGGGGGTGAGGTTAGAAGGTACGTGCGCGAGGAAAGGGAAAGGAAGGTGGAAGGACAGAGGATTCCTGGGGCCGGTGCCCAGGGTGAGGTTCGGATTCCCCAAACCCCCGCACACCACTACCTATTAAGGGGCAGGCCTCAGGCAATATCTAGGGCAGTCAGGCAGGGGAAACCATGAAGAATGAAGAGGCGGGGGAACGTGGCGGTGACCTGGGGTGAGGTCGGTTAAGGACACCGTCCTGGTTCTGCCCCTGAGGCATCTGAGCCAATCAGGAGCCGCTCTCCACCTCCAACATCTTTACCACCCTCCCCCGCCCTTCTGACTGGCCGCGGGGCTGAAGCGCAGAGACAGAGTTCCCAAAGCCCATCGGAACGCTGCTCTCGGAGATGGGGCGGAACCTAAAAAAAGGCGGGAGCGGGAGAAGGCGGCTACAGTGGCCCTGTCACGCCCTCTCCATGTGGCAGCCAATCGGCAGAGCCCACCGGCCAAAACTGCTCCAGCCCCGCATCGCGATGCGCTGGCCTCTCCGACCACACGCGGCGCCCTTTTGTACCTTTATTCTCTGGGCCTCCGTGGGCAGGCTGGGCCTGCATCCAGAAGCCCTAAGCTAGGAGAAGAAACAGCTCTCCTTCCCCCACTCGCTGGAGGCTGGGAAGGAATGATTAGGCCATAGGGGTGTAGTAAACATCTCCAAATTACCATTTCCCCCTGACTGCCCAGGCCTTCCCCGTAAGGACTTATAGGCGCCCCCACGTCTCTCCAGTCTAGAGTCAGTTCAAATGAGGTATAAGGGCAGCGGCAGCAGGAAGGCGCCAAGTTAATAACAGACATGGGTAAGATGGTCATATTGCGAACCTGGCCTACTCCTGCCCCAGTGGTGTGGATGCTACAGCCCTCCAGCAAGGGGCTGTGACAACCACAACTAGAGGAACTGGGAGCTGACACTGAAGGAGAGGAGGCCGTCCCAGGGTCAGCTTGAGGAGGCCGGAGGCATGGAGAGCTGGTATCAGGGAGCGAAGGTAGCCTTTAGGACAGTGCCTGAGGCTGCATAGCCATGTTCCCAGCCCTTGATGCACCTGCCACTTTAACCAGGGGCTACTTTCCTCCAGCAGGTGGGTTACTCATGAAACAGAACCAACCCTAAAACCAATGCCACCACCTCTTTTGGCCTGAAGCAGCTAGAGGTTAGAGGTTACTGTGTGCCCCTATTTTCTGGACACCCACCAGAAGGGATGTAGGCCCAGGAAGTAGAGAGCAAAGGTGACCCTGGAGCAGAGATGGGGCTACTTGAAGGTCCCAGGAGGAAGGAGAAAGGTAATGGGAGAAGAGTGTTATGTCATATTAAATATTTATTGTTTTCTGCAGACTGACCTTGGAGAGGACTGGTTAGTGTTCAAGTTGCTGAGATCTCAGGTCAAAAAGCTACAGACATGAAACCACTTTGAGCATGCTTAGCATGCACAAGGTCCTGGGTTCAATCCCCAGTACCTCCAATTAAAAAAAAAAAAAAAGCGAAACCACGATTAGAATGAAAGACAGACAAAAACCCAACCATATGGGC